TGGAGCCTTGGGGAACTATCTACCAGGGTCATCCAATGTGTGTCCAGTGGAGGCTCATATGTAGTGTGGGGTAATCTATTGGTGACACATTGGATGATCCGGGCAGTAAATGTGCGCTTTCACACGACCAAAGAGAGCAAGCTTGCCACTCTCCAGAACTTGCCAGGAGAGGAATGCTGGTGAAAGCAAGCTCTCCGCCAGCCAGTACAAGTGGGGTGTCTCAAATTTGCACTAACTGGCTGCCCATACGGGCATTTTGGTGGCTACTAGCTACTGACTGTCCTGCATCAAGTAATGCCCATACTGCCTGGTGCCTCGTTTGATCTCCTTTTCAATCCGACCGAATCTTCGCAATCGAGCCTGGGGGCCGGACGTAAGTGGCCGAACAACGGATGGACACCTTGAATTGTGGGGATCTCCTGGCCTGACACACCATGGCAAGAGAGGTTAAGTGACCTGAACTAGGACCTTACTGGGGTACCTATGGGATAGGCTATAGGGTCCTTCAACCTCTGTTGGTGGCTCTGAAGTTTGCATCCAAACTGCTAAACAAAGCAATCACCGGCGATGCGCAGCTTCTCACGTCGCTTGGCCACCGCACCGTCACGCTCGCCAGCTTCCACATCGCGCCGAGGCTCTACCTGCTGCAGCTCTTGAGCTTGTGCCGCCGAAAACACCACTGTCCAGTCGACGGATTTCTGGGTGTGCTGCATCTTCACTACCTATTTCACCTGGTTTTCTATGGTCACTTTTAAGGTCCTCGTAGGAAGTCTTCAATGTTTGTTCACCGACATGTTTTCCCACTCAATGTTCTCCCCAGGTTGAGGTCTGACATGTTTGTCCATGCTAAGACGGCAGGTCAACAGTGTCTTTCTTGTCCGCTACAGCTAGCCCCCATTCATACAATTGCAGAATTTGCTAGCCAATATTGATTGGGATTAATCAGCTGAAGCCTTTTGATGAGTTATATGAATTATATGTAATAAAGTTAGATAAATACTCATGGAGTCGGGGGGGATCAGGATGGGGCCTGTGGGCCTCATGCTTCGACGCGTGACTCATCACGCAGCATCCACGGAATTACTTGGCGCTTGGCGCTTGACTTTCCAACATGTCAAGGATTCAGTTGCTGTCCTTGACTGGATACTCCCAGTCAGTGGATGCAGTCGGAGCCTTTAACAAGAACAGGTCAGGTGGAAAGTTGGGTTCAAAGTTCACCTTTATTCTTTTCCTGGACAACGGCTCGGTTTGGACATCTTCCAGGCCAAAAGGGATCTAGCAATCATCTATCACCCCTTGGCAACTAGAGAAGGTCTCCATGACGTCCCACTCCAGGGAGTAATTCACTACTCGACCATGTCACTGTCGTAGCTGGCAGCTTGCCAGCTTGCCAGGTTGTTTGTTGTGCTGTTTTGCACATGTTTGACCCAGCTAAGCCGTGACCCCTACCTCATATCAGGCCACACACATGTCGTACTTGCGAAGATGGACTCACCGATGGAAACTGAATCCCTTTTGCCAGGTACATGGTCAAGTACAAAGTCCTCGTCCTGGTCATGGTTCTAATGGTTTGGTTTCTCATGTCGTTGCCCCGGAGGGTGTGCTGATGCTGGGGGAGATGATGCCCTGGGAAGCATGTCATGGAACGCAAAGGCAACAGACAGTAACTAACGCTCAGACCAACGTGTCGCGTGTGGAGTGCAAGACAGCGAGAGTCGTTCGGAAGACGCGACATATCGCATGCGAGCTGAGATTTTTGGTTCTGTCAAGATTTATGACAAAGCATCTTGGCAGCACGTGGGTCTGAGGTCGACTTTGAAGGTTGGCACTGGGGGACAACTGGTTTGTAGGTTGGAATGGCAGAAGGAGCAGGTGAATCTTTGAAGGAGCAGGTCCAACACAACTCATTTCAAGAAAGAGAAGGCCTGCTATTTGGGGGGTGTAGACCCAATATCCCCAATATCCAGCAGTAGGTAGGAGATGGGATGAGATGGGGATTACAAGCACGCACCTTTGAGATTCGCCTGCTGACACGCATCACCAAAGCATTCAGTTCATCGGGGACAATCTACTGACTCGATTTTAGGGTATTACTGACACTTGAGTTTCCCTGCTGATTGCGAGCCAGAGATTTAGCATGTTGTGTTTCTTCAGTTATATAATGCAAGTGAGTGATGATATGAATCAGGCCAGAGTACTAAGTTGGTGTGTGATGTGTGTGTTTTTTTCTCACCGACGAAAGAAAGCAAGAAATGTAAAACACTGAAAAGGACAATATTTTGGTTTTCCTGGATCACGGAGAACGAAGCTTCCTTTCTAAACCCATCTTCGAATGTGTGAAATTGCTTTGAACGTGGGCTGTTTTTCACTGGGCTGCGGAACTCACTGGTGAATTCCTGTCTCTTTTGGCGGCGCGTTGCCTGTGCGACCCAAATCCATGACTGGTCGCTTAAGAGCTTTTGCGAGCTTTCGATGTGGCTCAGGTGTTTTGTTGCAGGAGGGATTTGTTTTCATCATTGTACATCATACACACAAGACGTGAATGTGGGTCAAGTTAAGACTGCCCAAAGCATGCTGCATGGCCATACTTTCTCATATGTACTTGTTTTGAGGGGATGTGGGATACCTGGAGAGATTCTCATCGGATTCCTGACAGGCTAACCAGACCATTGTGCTGGTGTGTGTGTGTGTGTCTTCAAAGGCACTATTGGACCAACTGTGTCCCTTTTGAGACCGCCACAAGCGAACGATGAATCGATAGGCTCGATAGCTGTTTGTTTGACCCATTCTCAATCTTTGAAGATCCACAGTGGTTGCTTTAGCTGAAATCCCAAAAACAAACTGCCCAAACACTCCATGTATGCTATATTTGCCTATCCCAGACACGACACATGGGACTGGCATAGGACTGCCGCCCCATGGACCCCCTAAACCACCCCAACTGATCGGCATATATGGCAGTCGCATTCGTCGTGTCTGGGATCCTATATTGGGGTCCTTGAATGTTGCGGTCAATGTAGGCGAGCAAACCAGGAGAATCCGAACCCCTGAGATCTACTCGCTTCCGCTCTCCTCGCGCTACTCGGGTCGAGGCCTCCCAAACGATCCGGATGAGACCGGTGACGAGACGGTGGCGCCAGCGCTGCGAAGCGGTGACGAGACGGGGCAGATCGATGAGCCACAGGGAAGCGGAGACAGATCGGATGGAACATGTGTGTTGTTCTTTATTTGCTTAGTGGTTCCCTAAGGAATGTGCAAGTCTTTTTGAGAGTTCCCTCTCTCGTTTGCCTTTTTTTTTGTGGAAAAAAACGTTGCTTCGTTGTCGGCAGCCAAGCGGTATACCTAGTCTGGGGTCTGGGTGAGCTGTCAGAGGGTGGTCCCGGGCTACGTCTTAGTCTTGCGTCAGAGGGTGGTCCCGGGCTACGTCTTAGTCTTGCGTGCGAGCTCAGAAGGTAGGGTGACATGGACCAAGCTGGCAAAGGCTGGCATTGATGGGACAAATACATGAAAAGACAAATTAAATACAACATACGTACATTTGCATGCATGTTAGTCTTCAATATGCTGTTGATGTTTTCTCCAAGTTCTTGGAGGTGTGCAAAAAGCAAAGAAATTCCAGTACGCGTCGTACAAAGTGTTTCTTCTCCCCCCTTATCGTGGGGCCCGTGGGGATCAAAACATGATGTGTATGAGGGGTCCTGGGTTAAAGCATCACGGTAGTAGAGTTCAATAGGTAAAGCTCCATGTGTTTGACGCGAACATCTCCAGCTTTCATCCCTTGGAACGCTGACATGATGTTCGCATTGGGCCAAAACGGTGGACCGGCGGGCGCATGCTAGCGCCACTTGGTTTGGTCCGGGCCATTTGGTGAACACCTCCATTTGTTGGGGCAGATCTTGGTTTTGCATGGTTTTGCTATGTTTTCTTTAGGGTGATGCTTATTTTCCCTCTGGGTGAATCCCTAGTTGATCCCATTTGTTATTTGTTTCTGGTTTCTTCAGCAAGTCCTAGTTATAAACAAGTTTGAATCCTGATGGACTTGGAGACTCAAGCAGAAAGTCTGGCTTCGACGCTCCAGCCCCGGCCTCCAGTTTCATCACGCGCAGCACGCGCAGCACGCCCGCGCCACAGCTTGGACACAGTCTTTTGGAAGATGTTTCGAGTCTCTGTGTACCAAAAGGTTTTTTGTTTGGAGCAGATGTTTAGAACTTTTGGCAGGGGATCTTTCAGAAAGAACTTGGTCGACCTCGACCGTAAAGCAAACGAAAGGAAAAGGCCGGGCCGGGGCAGACACGCAGACCTTTAATTTAGATTCAACAACAATTAGTGGTTGCAGCCGTGCAAACCCATGTTGATCTATATGAGGAAACCCACCAAGTTCTTGGAATTTTAGCCCAACTAGCTCAGCTCATCTGAACCGTTTTGTCCAACGCCAAGTGTGAGCTTGCGAGGGCGAGGGCTTTGTGGCCCGATGTAGGTAGGCGCAGCGTGTCCCACCGACCGCGCACCAGACTCCAGCGGCACACCGACCGCTCTCGAGCGCCGCATGAAGAAAGGAGACGGTCGGGAGAGCACCGCGTGAAGACCCGGCATTTGGTCGGGTGCGAGGAAAAATGCTTGGGGTGGTGCATCCCAGGCAGCCTTAACCCAGACCACTCCATGGTTGATGTCAGGGATCAATGCAATGTATTCTAAATATTCCAGTCCCATGGAGCAGTTTGGGTACTGCTTGGGCGTGGGTTCCACCGAGTGTCGCAGTGCGGTGACGTCTCAGGTGACGTCTTGAACTCTCAGCAGTCTCGGTAGCTTTTACACCTGCCGAACCATTTGGATTCACCCAGGACCCAGGATCCAAACCGACCACCCCCCTTACCCCTTAGTTCTATTTGTGTACTTGCTGACGAAGCATAGAATCATGGGTTCAACAGATAACAGGGTGAAAGGATCTATGAAACTTGCAGACCACTGGGTAACAGACCACCGGTTCACATCGCTGACAGGCTTTGCCTGCAGCTGTGTGCGCCCCCCATTCCTCGGCTTTTTTTCCGCCGGTGCGGACCTGGAACGACGGGGACGGACCTGGAACTTGGGATGTCTCATAAGCCTTGGACGGTTGTTCACCAACAGATGGCGGATGGATATGAGGTGAGAAAAATAGGGCCCAGCTGGCCGAATGCCGAACCTGAACCTAAAAATTAACAAATAAAAATTAGCTCCATGTATCAATCCAATGTCAGCCTGTCAAAGCCTTCAGCCTTAAGCCTTTTACATACTTCACAGGGTTGCAAGCTGGAGTGGTCTATGGAGGAGGATTATACTCACTGAGTGGCTTTGACACCAAAACTATCCCGTGGGCGCGCTGAGCTCTAGCGACCTCCGGGGTGAGCTGGGAGATGAGCAGTGTGAAGAGGGACATGAGCAGTATGCATTCAGTGTGGGAAGAGGACCAAGCGGATAATCTCCAACAACCATGGAAGTGGCAAACGGCCTGTTCGTAGAGGAAAACCGTTTTCCTTCCCGAAGCATGTTCCACTTCCATGTTTGGGGGAGGGTACCCCCAAGGTATCCCCAATTGTTGTTTCTTCCCTGGCATACCAAACGGAAGTCAGTTGGAAGGATGCTTTGCTAAAAGTAATCACATGAGAGCACATGGACTGGTAATAATTATTAAACTACAATCCAATATACCCAGACACTCCATGTGTGGAATAAGTGCCTAGCCTGTTTAAGGCACCGTAAAATCGGCCCGTTGCTTGGAGTCTTTGGGAGGCCCATTCGCCACGAAGCGATGGTTCTGTGGCAAGATAGTCGTACCAAGTGGTCCCCAGGGATCGTTTCCTGGATTCTCGGGAGACTAGAGGGAGGGTACTGTGGATCGACATGAATCCATACAGTGAGATGCATGAAAAGATCTCGAAGACGCAAGCCCATCAACAAGTCTATCATCATCCATCACCCCAGTTTTGCTTTCGAGTACATCTAATGAGTGTCTTTATATTCTATTGACTCGATCTAGTGAAAGGCCATCAATTCATCACCATCAGTCCCACATGATCTTTGCTGCTCGCCACTGCTTGCTTGCGCTCGCATTCCCCAGGACAGCATGGACCACTGAGCAGCTTGCGCTGCTTGAGAAGCAGGTTTGCACGGTGCCGGCTTGGAGTGAGACGGGTGCTGGTGAGACATGGAAGATGTTCAAACCAACGAAAGCAAAGGATGTGCTTGCAGGATGTGAACATACCCTAGGGCCCTATGGCTCCTGGCCCATCTCCTCAGGTGGTTGGATGGTTGGACCCCCCAACCCCACCCAACCATCTTCGAAACGGAGGTGGGACAGGAGCCCTATAGGGTTAGAATTTGAATAGACTCACCTCGAAAAGTTGGCAGGCAAAAACCGTTGGTCGCAGCATATCAATGCGTTTGGGACACTGTTGTTAAATGTTTTTATGTATACACGTTACATGTTTGTTTAAATTGGATTCAAGCGTTGAACACCAGGGAAAGCATTTGACTGTGTATGTTTTTAGTCAGTGCTGTGGACAATGCTTTGTTGCATCATCTCTTAGTCTTTGCCGTGGCCAAAGAAAAACATATTAGCTCACAACTCGGACGTCACGTTTCCCGGATTCCCTTTCCCTCGTTTCCCCAATGGCTGTGATGGGCGGAGCAACCGCTCCGTCTCGGCGCAAGGCTTGGCTATGCTTTTTGTTAGGTTTCTTTCGCTCGCGCGGACCTTGGAAGCGGGTCATGAAGCGTGGACCTCCGGGGAGATGGAGCGGTTTAACATGGGACGAGCGGGGTGAGCCTCCTTCTGGGGAGTTAAACATGATCATGACCCAGCTTGAAGATAGCCTGTATTTGGATCTTAAACAAAACGCACTTTATTTGCGGTCACTTTTTTTTGTTTGGAATCAAGCTTGCCGGCTTGTTGCAGTGGCTTCTCATCGGGGATTTAGACAGATTATGCTCCTGTTTGAAAGAAGTTCTCATATAGAGTTTCATGGCACTTGCCTATACTGACCTGGATACTCATGCATACAACTTGCAATCAATTGGGCAACTTGGTCTCAGAAATTGCAGTGCAAAAGTTGACTTCAGCCGCGGCTTAAGTGGTCAAGTTCTAAGCACCAAGCTTTTAGGGAAGCCTAAGAAAACAATGGGAGTTAAAGGAGGTTTTCAGGACGTCAAAGGCCGGCAGGATAGGGAGCTCATGAGCAACAGCAGAGCATTCAGGCACCATTTGCTTCAGCATTTTGCACAAAACATTTGGTGGAGCACAACTAATGACGTTTGTGATTATTTTGTTTCAAGGGTGCCCCACTGGTTTGAGAAGATCGGGACTTGTCTGATACGCGTGAACCTTTTGTGGGACTGTTGGGGGTTGGAAGTCATCAGCGTGTGTCATCGCACGGCCTTGCACTGGATGTTTGTTGTGTGTTTTCATTCCATCATGAAAACCCAGAAATCAGCACAAAACGGACTGTGAAACGCATGTTCAGGTACCAATGATGTAGCCACTGGAATCACGGCACCAAGGTATTTGAACTCAAACTTCTTCCTGGGAGATTTCATGGGCGGAGGCTCGGAGATTTCATCTGAGCAAATGCTTGGTGAAATGAACATACCTAGACCCTCCAGCAGATGTGTCCTTACTGCTGAGGGGCACCTTCACCAAGCCTGCTCCGTTCGGAAAGGCTTTACTATTACTGCTTGTGCCATCTAGCAGTCGCAGACTCTATTGTCTATGACCACAAGGTACAAGAAACAAGGTGGTGCAGATGCACCAACAAAGACATATTGCTATCAAAATCTATCAAATATTTATTACATTTTGTTTCTAATAAATGCCGTACAAACAAATTGTTATTTTTGCAAAACGTAACTCTTGGGTCATCCAGGATACATGGGGTCACCAAGGAAAGCAACTCCCAAACCTGCATCAAACCATTTTTCTCACCATTTGAGACCTCGCAGTCTAGGCAAGCTTGTAGTGATTGCCAAAATAGATCGAAACGGTTTACATTCTTGCTGGGGATCTACTTGTCTATCTATCTGGGGGTCCGAACTTAGCCAAGCTTCGTAGCCAAGCTATCTATCTATCTGGCTACCAGCGCCTCGGTATGCTTCTACTGACGATGGGGCGAGGTACCGACCTCTTTGCCGCCCTTTTGGCCATCTTCGGGATCTACAACGTTTGCTCCATGAACGGTGCCGAGACTCCCCCACCCTGCGTGGATCCGTTGGACTCTCCGTTTTGGGGGGCTCGAGCACATCCCACCGTCACGGAACCGATGGTTCGGGTGCTGCTCGGGGGTCGAAGACCGAACCTGAGGAGATGGGACAGGTGGTTCTTTTCTCGGAGATGTGGCTGGCGCAATGTGTTTGGATGTGTTTTGTTTGGGCTGGGCGCTTGGGCGCTTGCAGAGGAGGGAAAAGGCTCGGCTCAGAAGTTGAAGGTGATTTTGGTCGACTTCTACAAAGAGTTTGAGAAGGTCCAGCAAGAACCCTTTTGCAGTCAAAAATGTTGATTGGAACGCCCACGTACTTCACCTCAGGCTCAGACGCTTATGAAAAGCAGATGACATGATAAACAATGACAACCACGCATGATTGCACTTTCTCAAGCCTTCTAAGTCATACGAAATGCTAGAAGCCTTTCTGGAAACACGACAATTCTTTCCTGCATTTCAAGCACATCCTCCAAATCTCACGGCGCCACACCGCCAAAGGGCATGGATCCTGATTTGGTGCAGCCGCTGGGCAGCCTTGATGAGCTTTCCGTTCAACAGGGCCAAAATGGCAAGACTTGTGTCTTGACTTCCCTCAAACAGCTGCTTCAAGAATGACAATATTATCTATATGTGTCATGCCATTTCAAGATGCTATGATCACCAGATCGTGAGGGTTCACCAAAAAATAGAAAAACAACATGGGACGGACTGTCGATGAGATTATCACCGCCTCGTGACATCGATATATTCATGTACTCAACGCCTTTGGACAAGACGTGCTCCGAGCAACGGAGAGCTCCCGTTCACCGTAAACAACGCAAGCACCCATGGAGAGTGGACGACCCTGGGACGATGGAGAGTGTTACATGATCCTGGCATCACCAAGTTTAGGAGTGTCCAAAAAGGGGAATGAGCGTTGACATTCCCATGTACCCGAAAATTCCTTACTAATTGGGCACCAGGCAGTGAATGGTCAATATACATGAGAGTATATGAGAGAGTGATTTCATACTGGAATTATATATGGAACTGAATGGAACTGATCTAGATTCCAGTGATGCCAGCAGCTTCGTCCCGTCCTTTCCAAACAGCTTCGTCACAAAAAGAGAACGACCTCTTCGGAAGCTCCACACGTACGAGGACGAGAAAACCGCCGCGCTCTCGAGCGCCCAGTGTCGCCTCCTCTCAGTTAAGCCGGAGTGGATCCAGCACCATCAGTGGAGGAGCGGAAGCCGTGGACGGCCATGGTGGAGCGGTGATGGTACGGGTGCAGGTGCAGGTGAAAGGAAGGACTCTTAGTAAAGGTGACGATGAGGATCACGAATGATGGATCTATAGCCCAGGCACCAATGGGACTGGAATATATGCCTACATTGACCCCTGAAACCAACCACACCATAATGTAGGATAATGTAGGCAACTATTCCAGTCCCATCGAGTGTTTGGGCGACCATGGACGAAAAGCTGGTTCCAGACCGGATGTGGAGTCATACTGAACAACGTTGAGCTTTGAGGGCTTCAATTGGTTGGGGCGGTCCAGCTCCCACTGATGTTGGGTAAGTCGACCCAGGAAAGTCGACCATGGCCTTTCAGAAGCTGAAAGAACGAAATCCAAACATCAACTAATTGGACATGCATGACATGTATGAAATCTGACTGCATGCCCAAACCTCCCACATCTCCTCCAGATCCATTTTCTCCAATCATCACGAGGCCCTGCCCCCAAAGTTGTAGAGGCAATTCACTCAACAAAAGGAGGTCGTTGGCAGGTCGTCGATCATGCTGACCCCGCTTCTACCCGGAAAAAGGCTCGGCAGGATGAAACCCCGGAACAAGGCTCTCTCTGCATGTGCCTTCGAACCCTTTTCGGTTCGATGGGCCACGAGATGGGCTAGGAGGTTTAGGGAACCAACATGAACCAGCCGTGATCAACCAGCCGACACATGGTCAGACCCAGAAAAATGGGACACAAAATGACACAAACAGGGTCAGTAACAGGGTCATACATTGACCGGTCAGTATGATTCGGCTGGGGTGGGGTCATGTTCGCTGGACTCATGAGATTTTTTCAGAGATGTAAGTAAGTACATGTAAGTCATTCTTTCCTACTAGTAGTAACAAGTGCCTCGCTAGTAGTAACAGGTGCCTTACTAGCAGTAACAAGAAGCTATTAGAATTAAATTTAAAATGTATCTACTAAGATGATCCACCCAAAGGAACCTGCGTGTCAATGCCCTCGAAGTATGGCATGACTCTTTGACTGTTTGTTCCGTCATTGCGACCATTCTTCAGACCTTACTCATGATTGAAGAAACATAGAGTGTATTTCGAGTAATACAATATATATAGTATAATAGTAGATTACACATGATGGCACATTCGTCCTAAGTCACTTGCTCAACACATAAATCCCTTGTTTTCTCTACATAGATCGATATGTGCGGTGTCAGAACTGCCCAATTGCTGCAACGAAACGAACATTGACCTCCATCCTTCGTTCTTCGCCTCAGACCGACCCTTTTTCAGATCTTCAAACCTCATGATTTACCCAGTCGCTCCAAACAGCCCTTGGGTCCCTCAAAACCGGGTTTTGAGGGTCCAGACACCTCCAAACGATTCGGGTCTTGGGCACGGGATTCAGTCCGCTGTTTCGCCCCTTGTTGCTTGGCTTCACGTTTCGGTCGTTTCTCCAACTGTTGCTCTAAAGCTGCAAAATGGGTTATATATTTATACTACAGTATATATATTTGTGTGTTAGTATTAAGGGCAAGGGTTTGGTTAATAACAATAACGACACATATCCCATGCCGACACGCAGGCCGACACGCGGGCCGACACGCCGCCTCGGTGCCCTCCTTGCGCCTGGACGATTTGGGCCGCGGACCTGCGCGGCCAAGCAAGTGGACCACGACGGAACACTGGGATTTGCTAACATTTTTGTGTTTTGTGATTGTGTTTTTGGTTGTTTTCCGGATTATTTGTGTTGTGTTGTTTGGTGAAGATGTTTATATATTGTGTGGTTGTGTTTTTAGTTGTCTTCCTGAAATTCTAATGTGTTTTTGGCATAATTGATATATGTTGTTTGTTTTGTTTTTACATTACCTAGACCTTCCATTGACATACAAAATTCTGGTCGATGTGGTCGGTATGCTTTTTTGTGGTCGACCCTCCCAAAACTGGTCGTTTGGCACCACAGAATCCAAAATTGATCGCTTTCCAAAAAAGTGGTCGAGAGATGTTGTGGGTATGGGCTGGGGTCGCACTCGGCACGCTGATGTGCACCACACATCCTGAAGCAGAACTGGCAGCGCCGCCGGGAACCTCAGCTGCCTTTTTCACTTGCCCCGTGAGTTCTTCGAGAATTGGACCTTGTAGAGTCCAAGACCTTTCTCAATGCAACGCAAACTAGCTTGCTTTGGATGGCATGACCGTCCAAGACGCGAAATGCGCCCGATGTAATCTTCGTCTTGCCAGCACGAGAAGTCTCAGTTGATCATCGGTTGCAAAAAATGACAAATTACATCACGACCAGAATTTTGTATGTCAATGGAAGGTCTAGGATGTTAAGATCTAATCTACACGCACCCAAAGCAAAATGTTGCTGAAGCATAGGCAAAGCTCTCAAAGCCGACAGCGAAGCCGATCCCAGGCTCATAATCAAAACCAGGTGCTGGTGAAAATGGATCTTCGGGCGAAGACGAAATAGTTTCATACCAGCTTGGGAACTCTTCAAAGCTAGGTAACCATAGGCTTCCTTAGTAGTGGGATGTCTTGGGGTGTCATCATACATCTTGTAAGCCCTGTTGGAGCTAGCCTTCATGATGCCAACATAGGGAGGCACGTCATCCTATACCCTATGCACAGATTTGCTGTTGATCCCTTAAAATATCAATTGAGACTTGTCAAACAATCATTGACCAGAATCAACAGATGTACAGGTTGGGGGCTTGGTGCAAAACCAAAAGTCACACATTCGCTGACCAGCAGTCAGAACAACTGACCTGGAAGGTTCTTCCACAAATACTCCATGCGCCCGCAATGTTCTGAAGAACAGGTTTGATGAAGTCACTGCCAGCTTGAGACCTTGTAGCAAATTATCCGAAGCCACATCCTTATTTTGCACAGAGACGCTGCTGAAACCTATATAGTGTTTTTTCACAAGTACACATGATTCTTACCAAGTGTCGCGATCTACTAGGACGTCCTCAAGCCATTCAACGACCACCGCAGTGTCATAGGCTTTGGAATTGCAAGAACCCAGGCTTTCAGGAAAGTCATTAATCCTGATCAAGGTTTGTGGGGCAGATCCTGTGGGACCTTCAAAAAACAAGCACGCAGTGACTTCATGGAAAGCTTGCAACTTAAAACAAGGGTCGTAGCCATGTTTAGCTTCTTGATTGACCACCAATCGATGCCAGTCTTCTTGTGGACTCTGGAAAGCCATCCACAGAATTCTTCATAAGCCCTACTGAGCTGCGCATCAAGGGTGGAACCATCAAAGAACTGTTTCTTGCAAAGAAGGACCACCCCAGAGGCAGCAAGGTCAATGCCCCACCCCAAGTGGAAGCAGTGGCAAGAATCTGGCAAAATCATCTCACTTGTCATTCCCGGAACCCTCAACAAAGGAATTCTGCTTTTGTCTATTTTGAAAGGTGTTTTGGGTCTTTGCCCCCAGCATGTGGATCGCCACGATGCATCCACCCCCATATGGTGCCAGTCGCTTCCACAGCACAAGTGACACTTGCTCAGGCAATTGAACCCGCAATTCAATTTAAAGGCCTGGGATCCGGAGCGGCAGTGGGAAACTTTTTGCATGCGCATAGCAAAAAGGTTGGGAGGTAGAGAAAGGAACAACAAAACATACAATTGTTGATTACATGCAAGTATCTTTCCTCAAATAGGGCCAATCACCCTTGGTCCCCACGTTGATTAGGCGGATGAAAACCCCTGGCATTGCCTTGGCCCAAATATATCTGC